CTTCCCTTTTTGTAGTTTGGCAGATCTTCAAACAGGTTACTCTCACATTCATGACGCCATGACCCTTTCTCCACCTCACCATTATTCTTCTCTATGTCGATGCTATCTGATGGTGTGTAGCGCCCTGGTACCTTAGACCGAAGGAAGTTGTGCAATGAGATGGCTGCCAGTATAATCTTCACAGCGTTGTCTGGTTTGACACACAAGGTTGTTAAAAAAAACCCTGAATCTACTCGAGAGAATACCAAATGCATTTTCACTAAGTCTCCTGGCACGAGACAACCTATAATTGAAAACTCTTTTTTCCTCAGTCAGATGTTTTTGACCATAAGGTTTCATCAGGTGGGTCTCCAACGAAAACGCATCATCTCCCGCAAAGAAATATGGCATAGGCTGCTCAGAATAGCAGTCGTGGAATGATCTGTCAGAGGACATTGGCAACTCTTGAGGGTCAGGTAAACCTAGTGTGTCTGTATTTAAAAAAATAGAGATATTTTAAGACCACCATAAAAAATCAAATATGAAAGTCCAACATATGAAATGCTTAATGAAACCTTATTTGAATAGCAWACGCTTATCAAGTGTGCACACATGAAGTACTAGATGGAAAAATTAACAGTGTAATACACTGTGGTTATTATAAGTTATAATATGATATAACAGTGCTTSTGAAATAATATGATTTTTAAGAGTTTGCTTTATAAGCCAGATAAATACCTCGAAMGGCCCCTCGTGCTTTATATGGCTTATTGCCTCCGTTCTCGGTATTTATCTCTTACATATTATTAAAAAAAATTTGTCTGTAAATGTTTTCAGTGATATTTTGAGTTATYRTACCTTCAACAAGTGCAGTCYAAAAATYAGTGTTTTTAATAACACCACCATCACTTATTCGACCTTGGCACCCCACGTCAGCAAATAAAAACTTATAGTCGGCGTCTATGACAGCCATCAGGACAACACTATAAAAGCCTTTATAGTTAAAGAATGAKGACCCACTGTGTGCTGGATGGAGTATTTTCACGTGTTTCCCGTCTATCGCACCCAAACAGTGTGGTAGCTGCCAGCGGTCTTTGAAGCTTTGGGCAACTTGTAGCCACTGTTCAGGTGAAGTTGGGCATTTCAGGAAGTCATCTTTCAAAACTTGAAAAATAACAGCACATACTTCTGGTATGATCTGGGTAAGAGTACAGGCACTTATCCTGTATTGGTACTGTAAGCTGCAAAATGATTCTCCAGTAGCCAAATACCGCAAAGTAACAGCCAACCGCTCTTCTGGTGGAATCGGCTCTCTCATATTTGTCGTCTTTTTCTTGATATATGGAGTGACTTTCTCCAAAAGATTCTAAATAATAACGTATATTTTTCAGATGTATGTCTTGAAAAACGTCACACAACAATTATGTCGTGTAGATTTAGCCTTAAAATTTCACCTAAATAAAGGAAAACAAACCTCAAATGTCGCCGTGTCCATACGAAGGTATCTCCGATAGTGCTGCGGATCTTCCAGCCTTAACTCTTGCAATAGSTCATTGTAAACACTTCTAGAGGATCGCCGATTAAGCCAGTCTTTTTCGCGTATGCTTCTCTGTCGTCTCTTGCATTTTTTTCGTTTCAAAATAATTGAAACAATAAGCAAAGTAGCAGTCCGCCTACGATCCGCCATTTTGTTTGTTGATCGCCCCAGTCCTCGCCGAGAACATTGCTCACGACATTACAATGACGCGTGCGACAAGTCGTGCGCGTGTAAATGGTGCCAAGTCATGTTGTATAAGACAAGTCGCGCGCGATAATTGTGCCGTGTAAATCGGCCTTTAGGAAGAAAAATATTATTTTGTCTCTGAACCTTGCGCTTGAATATATCCCTTTTCCAGAAGTGCTAATAAGCCCAAATTATTCTGCCCGAAATAAAATTCAAATGTCTTSAAAGGCAGTGCAATGTCTTGAACTGTTACTCGAAATTATGTTTAAATTAATGTTTAAATGGCTTTGAGGTGCAGGATAAAATTATGCGTCAAAATAGGTCATTGAATGTACTCTAAGTAAACCAATAATACCCCACAAAATTAGAACTTGTTCCAACAAAACGAAACTCGGCGAAATATTTGGAGGAATTCCTCAATTTCTATGCGAAAAAAAATTATTTATGCAAACGAGTTGAAAAGCCAGTTTGAAGTCTTGAGCTGTCACTCAAAGTTATGTTTTGGTAAACACGCGCATTTTCAATGACTTTGAGAAGGATAAAATTATGCGTCAAAATAGGTYATTGAATGTACTCTAACTAAACCAATAGTACCCCACAAAATTAGAACTTGTTCCAACAAAACGAAAATAGGCGAAATATTTGGAGGAATTCCTCAATTTCTATGCGAAAAAAAAATTATTTATGCAAGCGAGTTGAAAAGCCAGTTGGAGGTCTTGCGCTGTCACTCAAAGTTCTGTTTTGGTAAACATGCGCATTTTCAATGACTTTGAGAAGGATAAAATTATGCCTCAAAATAGGTCATTGAATGTACTGTAATTCAACCAGTAATTCCCCACAAAATTAGAACTTGTTCCAACAAAACGAAAGTAGGCGAAATATTTGAAGGAATTCCTCAATTTCTATGCGAAAAAAAATTATTTATGCAAACGAGTTGAAAAGCCAGTTTGAGGTCTTAAGCTTTCACTCAAAGTAATGTTTTGGTAAACACACGCATTTTCAATGACTTTGAGAAGGATAAAATTATGCGTCAAAATAGGTCATTGAATGTACTCTAACTAAACCAGTAATTCCCCACAAAATTAGAACTTGTTCCAACAAAACGAAACTACGATAAATATTTGGAGGAATTCCTCAATTTCTATGCGAAAAAAATTTATTTATGCAAGGGAGTTGAAAAGCCAGTTTGAGGTCTTAAGCTGTCACTCAAAGTTATGTTTTGGTAAACACGCGCATTTTCAATGAAAATTATGCGTCAAAATAGGTCATTGAATGTACTGTAACTCAACCAGTAGTACCCCATAAAATTAGAACTTGTTCCAACAAAACGAAAATAGGCGAAATATTTGGAGGAATTCCTCAATTTCTATGCGAAAAAAATTTGTTTATGCAAACGAGTTGAAAAGCCAGTTTGAAGTCTTCAGTTGTCACTCAAAGTCATGTTTTGGTAAACACGCGCATTTTCAATGACTTTGAGAAGGATAAAATTATGCGTCAAAATAGGTCATTGAACGTACTCTAACTAAACCAATAATACCCCACAAAATTAGAACTTGTTCCAACAAAACGAAAATAGGCGAAATATTTGGAGGAATTCCTCAATTTCTATGCGAAAAAAAATTATTTATTCAAGCGAGTTGAAAAGCCAGTTTGAGGTCTTGCGCTGTCACTCAAAGTTATGTTTTGGTAAACACGCGCATTTTCAATGAAAATTATGCGTCAAAATAGGTCATTGAATGTACTGTAATTCAACCAGTAGTACCCCATAAAATTAGAACTTGTTCCAACAAAACGAAAGTAGGCGAAATATTTGAAGGAATTCCTCAATTTCTATGCGAAAAAAAATTATTTATGCAAACGAGTTGAAAAGCCASTTTGAAGTCTTGCGCTGTCACTCAAAGTTGTTTTGATAAACATGCGCATTTTTAATGACTATGAGCAGGATAAAATTAGATAAATACGTGTTTGACCAAAGATGTATATTTACATAAACTTTATTCAATGTCATATGTTATCGATCAATATACTTCCTAACCTTCAAATTGTATCCTGTTCTCGCATATACAAATAAATACACAATAAATATTGAAATACTTCATAACTGTCTATCTTTCCTACTAAAATATTATACGAGTTAAAGTTTATTCTACCATACTAGGAAAACATATAAGCTTAAACTATTTAATAGTAATGTTAAGCATAGAATTAGCATAATTTAGCAGTCTGAAGTGGTTTAATCAAGCATTTGTATCTTATTAACAAACAAAAATGTTTATATTATATTATATAAGACGGATGTAAAAATAATTCACTTTGTATCGAAATTTAGACTCTTTAAGAAGAAGGAAAAGGAACTAGACGACTGRCTTCTTGCTATGGCGCTCTTGGCGCGCTCTTCAGGGYTCTGTGTGCGAGATTRCAGAGCCTGAAGAATGACCGGAACTTTACCGGAACTACAAAAAAGTYTTGAAATGTGCTATCAAACATTCGACAAATAAACAAATAAAAAATATTCGCATTTTGTACAAATTAGTATTTTCTGATTTACGAGAGCTTATGCTGGCATTTTATGAAGGCAGTTAAAAAATATCGCTACAAATGTTCGCATTTTCTATGTTTGAAAAGCTTCCACTGTGCAATTCAAATGCAACACAGAAAGCGTGAAAAAGTACAGACCAAAYAGTGCAAAATAGAACTACATCGGAACTATTATAATTTAGTAGAATTCAGCAGTATTCAACAAGTTCATGGTTTTAGCGTTTTAGTGCTTGCACTCTACACGACGTAATACTGAATGACAAATTATTGCACGGTTACATCAGCTGAATGATAAACAACTAAACAAAACCCTTTTCGTATTGTTTTATCCATATATCTTATCCAATACGTTCTTCTTGGATCGAAATATTAATTAAACCATTAGTAACTAAGACAGGACATTTATGCCAGCTTCGAATTCGATCCGGCACATGATCAAGTAGTCATAAGCATTGCATGTTAGTTTCCATGGATACRGCCTTTGAGTAGCTATGACAACAGCATTTAAGTTGCCATGACAGTAGCGCGATAGTCAGGCAGCTAGCCAGACAAGGCTGCCTTATAGCATTTCACGAGGGAGTTCCCTTAATGTACATTATTCGATGATCTCATCGTGGGGGCTGAAAGAGACCGACGGAGGCATCCCATAAATCCCTGCAAGCTTACGAAATCGGTCACCAAATTCGTTCACGGACGCCCACGTGACATCATCCCCCGAGTCACTACCGATACTGCTCAACGACCCCGAAGGCGATCCCCCTCCTTCGTAGCTAAACCTKTCTAACGTATCCCGCGGCAGAAAGTTTGAGGGATGRGGCATCGATATAGACTTTTTAGGGCGTTTGCYGTCTTCGGGTTCACTCGTGCACGCGTACGCTTCCTTTGGCGGTGGCGGGAAATCGTCACAATGTCGGTGATCATACGGTGGCGGGAAATCATCCGGTATATCCGGTATACCGTTCTGAAACTTTTTCCCTGGTATTTCTTTGCTGCGCTTACTATCCGATGTGTCGTTAGGAGGCTCGTGGAGCCGAACACTAGGAGAAGGGCACCGGTKTACAGGATTGTCGGCCATTTCCCCGGGACTGAGCACTTTCTCGGGTGGAGAAGAAACCTCGTCCGGGTCGGACCCTGCRTCTATGTTCTTTTTAGGAGGAAAAGGGACATCGTCGCGAATAATACTATTGGGTATTACAGGAGYACGGACAGTGGTTTTAGTTGCTTCTTTTGGATTCCTCGTAGGGACCATCTTGGGTGACTTTGTTCTGTTTTTCAGTGGTACTTCAGCGTAKRCGAGCGGTGGTTTGTGTGTCGGTCCATCATCCTGGCTTGAAGGAGATGAATGCGTCAAAGGCGATGCAAAGCCTTCATCAGATGAAGATATCTCACTCTTTTCATCACTCTTACTACTAGAGCTGTTTCGCGGCCTCGGCTCAAGAGGATGTCCTTGACAATTATCTTGATCTACTATCTTACCATTGACAAGCGGATTTGTTGTAATGTGGACTTTATCTGGGTCGGATCTGCGTTGTTCTTGATCTCCCAYGTTTGGATCCATACGGCGTTTTTGCTTAGGAACTTTGTTACTCAAGTCAACAGCGACAGCTCGACCGTAATGAAAATCACCGCAGTCGTAATATTCCTCTTCTGAGGACTTCGCTGATGGTGAGGGTGAAGCCTTTCTTGTGTTTCGTACTGGCTGAAGGAGGATAAACGTCGGACTTGCGTCGCTGCTGCCCCCATAGCCTCGGTCAGACCCACAGTGMTCAAGCAATCGTGTTTTGCCGCCATTTGCKGCTGAGAACTGTCCAGGATCGCCATCGTATACATTCATATGCATGTAATCACCAAAGCGTTCATCGACGTCTTCTTCAACTCCGCCATCGATGTGGTAGTCAGCAACGTTGTCGCGTTTGAAGACCTCTTCCACTGTGACGTTGTAGCTGTCTCGTCGAGACCGCTTGATGTACATGAAAACCACACAGGATGATATGATGAGGATGACGAGCAATAGAGACAGACCTGTCAACAAATGAGAACTTATGACATTAAACTGTTATTGTAATTATGATGTTAATTTTCACCATAGAAGTTCATCTCAGTTCATCACCATTAATCAGCATCAWTGCATTAGCTCTCCRGTASAACTCATTACCAAACCCATAATATATCTATTTGCAAAGCAAACAGCGACTGGAAAATGTAACTCGTTGATGTCATTTATTACGATACCCAAGTGTATCATCATTTTAACAAAACCATCATCAATGTCGTCACTACAATCGGTACACACGATATCATCATTTGACGCCATCATCATCACTTTTCACGTCCCATCACCTTCATAAAGTATTGCTGGTTTTCAATCAATTCTTTGAGATTCAGAGCACAAAACACTGTCGACCGTGAGCATACGAGAAACTCTTTTCCAATAAACCGTCAACATGGCTGCCGCAACGACAGTTAAAATCCCACAATTGTGACCCCTTCCGCTTACCTATAATGAGGCCATTTTCGTACCCAATGTCCGGCCGCAGCGCAACAACAGCTCGTCCAATATCACACAAAGCTCCYTGGAAGGCAGGCGGACATATACAATAAAACTTGTTTCGGTCGTCTTCATCAACATCTTCAATGCAGACTCCACCGTTTTTGCATGGATTTTTGGCRCACATTTTTGGATAGCAGACGTGTTTCCGCCAGGCATCGTAGCACCATTCTGTWTCAAGACAYAAGTTATCACTGCAAGCTGTTGAYGTACAGCCTTTCATGACGCCTGSAAAAAATAAACAAGGTGTTTAGAGACATCTCCAACATCGTGGACGAGTTGCGCGAAGGAAGGATGAAGTTGTACTCATATTTTTGCACTTYATAGATAACTAACGTCAACTTCAATCAGACATCAATACATAGCTGAAAGGAAATGATGTAATGTAAAGTGGGGAGGCGGAGAAGAACGGGTCTTTCTGAGGAGTGCGGACTCCGGAGTAGAGTTTCAGGTATAAAAGTATCGGGATGTTGACAAAAAACAATCCGTAGACAAAAGGGACAATAAGCGTGTTTTTTGTCCCTACCTCTCGTTAATGCTGTCCCGATGTTCATCGTCCCATTAAAGTGCAGTCGATARCCATGTAAGCGMACGTCATCTATACACCCCACGAAGTCCTTCTTTATTAGAGATTCCCCGACTCGTCGGCGTCTCYTGAAGTTTAGACTGCGAGGAATCCCCCCGATGTAGGTATGTATTGGGTCCAACGTGAGAAGTTTATGTTTACCACTTGTGTAACCTGTGAAAAAGAACAAATGATYGTGAAATCTAAAACAGCTTTGTATTGGAGTAGGTTCGATTGAGGCCTTATCTGCTGTATGCTGGTAAAAACGTCTAAGACTTCACCGTCTACGGTCTTCATCAGAGACTGACTAGAGAAATGCTTTGTATTGCTTTTTTCAAACTTCTGTTTGGCGTTTTTACACTAACCTTTGGATTCATAACGAATTCCTTTCTTCTSTACGGTTAATTTAGCTGTATTTCTGTATCTTTTCACTCTGATCACTGTCCATTTACCATCGCCAACATCGACGTCTGATCGAACTTTCGCTTCGCCATCTCCGACGTTAAACGAGTACATAACGATCAGCCGAGATTTACCTTCGGAGTTCGGTTTTTCACGAACCAACTAGAACAAAAGACGTATGGAGGTGACATTTGAGACTATTATTCATTTATTAATAACATTCTAGCGGTTCTATTGAAAAAGGCACAAGGAAAGCTTACCTCCAGAGTGCTGTATTCATACTCTTCTGTTCCAAGACTATGCATCAACACTCCGCCATCAGGATCTCGAGTCCTCATTCGAAGTTCAATGGTAGTGTCCCGGGGGTCATACTCAAACTTGTCGGAAAACAGATACTGCGTCATGCTCTCGTTGCCGTAGTTTACAGGCTCAGTCTCTGAAAATAATTAAAAAACCGTAAGTGTGGTCTAMGAAATTTGATTCCCAGAGAGGTTGGACCCGGCAAGAGATATGATGGCGATCATTAGAACAATGGCGCTGATTATGATAATAATAACAATGAATGAAATGACAAATGGAGGTTTAGTTTGATGAAATCGATTCCCAGAGCAATTGGACGTGGCTAGATAACTCTATTAATGACAATAATAATAGAATAGTCCTCATCATCATCGCCGTCGTAATMATTGTAACAACRTACTTGCCCAGCAGGTATCGCCAAGCTGCCCCACAGGGCAGCGACATTTGTAACCAGTCCACGAGCCGACACAAGTCGATTTGGCATGACAYGGYGATGCTACACAGTGCTTATCCATCACGGGACARCCCATTAAAGATCCAACATAATTGGACGTACTACTGAGATCATACATGACGTCATCGTTGATTAAATTCCGTATACAACCYTTATAGTTCTTGCTAATAAGATTTGGGTACATCAGGTCACGTGATGAGATCCCTCCCATTTGAAGAGGTCCATTGAGATTAAGGAATCTGAAATAAGTCAAGATACATCAGTAAAGCAAGCCTATTACGAAAGTTCCTATGTGATTTCTGTGCCTATTCATTCTCGTGCCCAAAGCAACTCGGTCGTTTACTAGTCTTCTCCGATGGTAAGATGACCGACTGTGTTCCTCAGCTTGACTTGGTGCCTCGTGCCTCTTCTGAATATTGAATTCTAAAGTGTATCAATTACATATCCGATATTTGGATAGAACTTGTGTCTTACTTGTTGTCGTTGTTCTTGAAACTGCCCTTGACTTCGCACATTGTTCTGTTTTCAGAGGGGTGGGGTGTAGGGTAACCTTCATTGATCACCGAATTTTTGCATTTGTCTAATGTCAAACGAACCGACTGMAAAATGAAACGTCAAAAACATAACATAAATCTAGAGCGATACATACATGGATTGGCAGTSGAAACATTGTAGTGCCACAACAAGACTTGTATTGTAGCTGTGACAATGTTTCTAGCGCGCGACATGAGTCGTCGGACAAATATTCCAACAAACGYACCGTTTCATTTCTATAGATTTCCAAATGATGCCACTTGCCGTCATTCAGACCCAAGCTATACACCACTAGAGTTAGTACGTCATTCCGGTTACCAAGGGAAATGGACATGCGTATTCGACCCTTATTGAGTTCAATGGCCAGGAAATCAAATACGTCATCYTGACCAATCTCTACGTGTGACGTTGGTCCAGCATAAAGGATCAGACCATTGGCTTCTCTTGTTGCGAATTCTAAAGTCATGGTACTAATGCGGCACTGTCGCAGTGGGGGAAGCCACACCCAATCGCCTTTTTGGAAACTACGAGTTGTTAGTTCGCAGTTCTTTCCATTGTACTTAGAGTAGCAGCGACAATGGTAGCCTAGAAACAAGATCAACAATTGATTCAAGTTGTATTTGGTTTCGATGGATCAGAGTTTTAATACGTTTCMATCTATGGATCCAATGTTGAATATTTATTGGGTCAAACTGGTTAAAAAATCAGTCGTCAACTTAGATCGAACAGCAACAGGTTTCAAGTATGGGAGTAAAGATAGGACATCATTGCGGTAAGAGTGGGTCAACATGAAGGTACGCAGGTCTTACTTACCTTTAGGTGTGTCTTCACACGTGCCTCCATTCATACAGGGSGAATCAATGCACGTGGTCTTAACCTTCCTGCTTGCGTGACATTCCTCACACACAGCCACATCGTTGACTTCAATTGAGGTAAACGACTTGCTRCCAATGGCAATGACCTCGATAGTACCAGGCGCGCGCAGCTCACTTCTACAGCTACCATACTTGCAAGGATCGGCCTGGCAGGAGTCAACACCGATAGACACCACATTAAAGGCGTTTAGGTTCTTCCTGTTTTCTTTTAAAATGGTGATGAGCTTTTCAGGGGCGTRGTAGGGGCTCCCATGGACAGCGAAGCGAACGTCGATTGCAGAAGGCTTGACGTTGTTCGGTGCGTCTTGGATGCTAAACAAGTCTACAAACTCCTTAGTAGTGCTCAGGGCCTCAGCGACAGACTCCTTGAACAATATGATATAGTTTTTGATAAAAATGCTACGTGTTTTACCACTTATCCTCACTGCAACGCTTTTCTTCACAGCCTCGTGTGATATGCTCCTCACTCTTATCGTTGCAGTGCTTTCAACATCTTCAAATTTTTTGGTGCGATCCGAAACTTTGACAGTCAACGTGTATAAACCTTCTGGTGGATTCGGTCTACTAATGATTGATCCGGTTAGTCTATTGACTGAGAAAATCTCCGAGGTCGAATCGCTTAAATCGTAAAATCTTTCATCGTCGGTGTCAATGTCTTTGACGTTGATGAATCCAATATGGCCGCCTCTGAAACGGTTCTCGTAGCTATTAAGGAGTAATTCTAAATGTGCTCCTTCGTGCTGGTGGTCATTCTGATCTTTAACATGGACGACTAAAGTTGTGTGATTGCTCATTGGTGGGTGGCCGTTGTCTGTCCCCCAAATYACTAGCGGATATTCGGACTTTTCTTCTCGATCGAATTGGGTATTTGAGATGAGCACTCCATCTTCAGTCAAGTTGAACAATCTCCTCTCGTTTCCTTGTAAGATTCGATATTTGAACGGTCCTCGGTTCTTTGGGTTGGAGTCAGGATCTGTGGCGACGATAGTGACAATTTCAACAGGGGGAGGCACGTTCTCTAGRATGGATGGGTTAAGGACATACTCTTTGAAATGAGGTCCGTTGTCGTTGACGTCGATAACGTCGATGCTTACCGACGCTTTGCCGTACATGATTTTGTTTGAGTCACTTGTTCCTACAAAGGAAAAGTACGTGTCTTAAAGTTTGCTTAAGTATGTTTAGGGATGGGTGTCTTTACGCAAGCAACACACATTGGTAAACGAAGCAGGACGTGATGTAAGTTTTAAAATAGAATGCGGTTTCTTTACGTTAGTGATGCAAACGCAAGAGAGTAAGAAATGGATGCGATGATTACACTTTCCATTGAATTACGACACAAAGTCCTTACAAGTTGCTCACATAAGTACAAAAACGCAAAGTGAAAGATAACATTAAGRCAAGCGCAAGGATTACAGACATGCTTTTATCTTGCTCCTGCATTTGCGTCTTCCGTCTGCTTTCTAGTGTTAACATGACTTTCAATTGTAAAATTTCGCTCGTTGCTGGCCGCGTCCGACTTTCAGTCATACGAACACTGCGCATATAAAAATCATCACTTATACTTATTGGCACTTATTGTTGGCTAAATAAGTAATTGCAAGAGATAAAAGTGACTCACCAATGTTTGCTGCTCGAACGGAGAGAATATGATTAGGCCTCTTCTCCCTATCTAACGGCTTTTTCAGATATAAAACCCCCCTCTCGGCGTCAATACGAAACAGTCCGTCGGGATCTCCCTCGGCGATAGAGTATCTGAACTTCTTGTTTTCRCCAGTGTCTAAGTCAGTTGCGAACACCTGAAGGAGTTTGGTGTTGACGACGGTGTTTTCTTCAAAGCTTGCACTGTACGATACGGGTTTGAAGACCGGAGGGTTGTCGTTATAGTCTAATACCTGGATGATTATCTCTGCTGTATCGCTATAGGATGGAACGCCGGAATCACGGACCTTAAACGATTTAAATGTTGCTGTTATTGTTGTGATAGTTGTTAAAAGGCAGAAGAATCGTTTGTATTTGACATTGGGGATATCAGTTGTGCCTTAAGAGGGGAAAATATGCAATTTGGTACAATCTGGTACAATTTGTACTATGGGAAATAATCGTAAAATTGAGCACAATTCAACTACTGCATTATTCCCCTTTTCTTTCTTGCTTTCTTCCTCTCTCCCTTCCTTCACCTTTCTACAACTGGAAAAAAAGCTGGTAAAAGACTTAATTGCTCATTTGAATAACTAACCTTCACTTCAAGCTGGTAATCCGTCATTGTTTCATAATCCAAGCTCTTCGCAACAAGAAGCCTTCCCGTATCTTCTTCAATACGAAACTGTCTTTCTTTGTTGCCTTCCTCGATGCTGAAGCGTAATTTTGCGTTGATACCAGTGTCTCCATCGGTGGCCGATAGTGTCATGACAGCAGAGCCCGGATCAGCGGCCTCAGAGACATTTGCCTTGAACACACGATGGATGAACTTTGGCCTCTGGTCGTTGGCGTCGTCGACTCTTATTGTCACGTTCACCTTGGAGAATAGCGAGATATSCTTTGAGTGATGACAATTAAGGCATTATATCATAAAGGAAAATAGTTATATCATAATGGCGGGGTTTATTACAGTGATCAATAATTATTAACTTACTTCCCCCTCCTGGGGAGGCCGCCCCATATCGCTCGCGCCAACTTTCACCATGTACTCGTCCTTCGCCTCTCGGTCAAGCTTCTTCGTAGTACGAATCAGTCCCGAGTTCCTATCGATTTCAAATACTCCATCGGCATCGTAAAGAAGCTCATAAACGATCTTAGCGTTTCCATTCTCATTGGGATCGTCATTATCAATAGCYGTCATCATAATAACGCTGGCGCCTGGGCCGAGGTTTTCTTGCACGTGACCAACATAAGGGACATCTGGGAACTCGGGCCGATTGTCATTTATGTCCTTAACAATAACAGTGATGTCAGCAGACCCAGTCCTCCTAGAAACTTGTCCTGGCGCGTCCACGGCGAAGGCAAGGAAATCATACCTCGCTTTCTTTTCTCGGTCTAGTTCCTTTCTCGTTCTYAGTATCCCAGTCTTTGGATCAATGTGGAACGCATCCTTTCCTTGTCCACTTATCGCGAAGCGAAAAATGCCCCCAAGTCCTTCATCAGGGTCAGACGCTATTAGCTTGAGAACAAATGTCCCTCCAGATTGCTGTTCGTAGATCTGGGCCTCGTAGCTTTGCTTTTCAAACTTGGGATCGTTATCGTTGATGTCTTTGACTTTGACGTTAACAGTGGCCTTACCAGAATTTTTGCCATCTCGTGCTGTCACCTAAAATTATGATAAAGACAATAAGAAAGCTATTGAGGCGAAAACGAAATTAGTAAATGGATGGGTTCTTCACCATTATGTGGTAGGTGCCATGTTGAATATCAGTAACATATAGAATATGGCTTTAGTCCTTTCATTTACCAAGGCACTTAATGTGACCGCACAAATGCTCAAGGTTGATCAAATGTCCAGTCACTGCACCGTGTTTGTCATTAGACATGCTTCCACTACGTAATGGTRAAGAACCCTATTTTTAATTAGTAGGGACTTGCCTGAATAAAATTAAGGTAATACTTACCTCAAGCTGGTAGAAGCCTTTCTTTTCACGATCTAACGGGCCAGCAATAGTTATCGTCCCAAACTCTCTATTGATGTGGAAAACAGCGCCTGTATTGCCTTCTGTTATTTGATAGCTGACTTTAGCATTATTTCCTAAATCTCTGTCTGTCGCTGACACTTTAATAACGTCCGCCCCGATCGAAATGTCCTCAAATATGGAAATATTGTACTCTTGTTGTTCAAAGACKGGGGGGTTATCGTTCTCGTCTTTAATGATMACTTCWACAATMGTAGTGCTAACYTTTACAGGAACCCCATGATCCTTCGCGGCAACGACAAGGGTATAGCGACCTCGTCTTTCGCGGTCAAAGATTCGCTCTGTTTTAATYAGCCCTAGATTCTCGTCTAACGAGAAGTACTTCCAAGATCTGAATCTTCTTCGCTGTACAAAACTGTAWGTAACACGCCCATTCTCACCCGTATCCAAATCAGACGCACTCACTTTTACAACAGTCGTTCCTATTGGTGCATTTTCAGACACGTGACCCTGGTAACGAGGCATGTTGAATTCAGGTGGAGAATCGTTGACATCTTCAAGGTAAATCTTAACTGTTGCAAAGTTGATTCCMGGAGGGTTAGAGCTTGTTTCAGCTCGAATGGTTAAGGAGAAGTTCGCCGTTGTTTCGTAGTCCAAAAAATGTGAAGTCTTAATCTCACCACTAATCGTGTCAATTTGGAATCGTTTAGGATTGTTTGTGAATGGTARRTTTCCAGGAACGATACTGTAATAGACATTTTGATTGTTGTTCGCTATTGCATTGACTGTAATGACACTATGACTTGTCGGGACATTTTCGCGAACCCTTGCGGTGTACACTGCTTTACCGAACGACGGAGGAGCGTTGCCATCGCCAAATACGGTTATGGTGACGGCAACGTCAGATTTCAAGTGTGGAGTACCATTATCTTGTGCGACCACGCGAAGCGGGTACTTCCTGGTGGCTCCAATCAGCTTGGCTTTGGTTGTGATTGTTCCTGTCTCGTTRTCAATGGCAAAGAAGTTATTCGGTTCGTTCAAGGAGTACGTTATRAGRGCATTAGAGCCTGCGTCCTTGTCATTGGCGCTTATATGGATAACTGATCTTCCAATATCGAAGTCCTCACCTTTATATCAAAACAAAACAATAAAAAAGGTCACGATACTGTGAGTTGCCATTCATAAGTAAACGGTTAGTTTACTTCGCAGCCTCTCCTTTTGTCGGGAAGGGGAGGCTGCGAAGGAGACTCTTAAACGGTCTACAGTGCGGTTTRCTATGAGAGCGCACATTGGTAATGACAAAGTTGCAGTCGGATACTAATAGACCCTTTCAGTTCATGGAATTCATCTCTAACTATGGATTCGAGTTCACTTTGTGAGCATTTATCTTTTGTTTTACCCCCCCAATGAAGCTTCTGAAACATCACATGCTAGGGGTCTAGACTTAACCGATCAACTCTATCGCCAATACGGCCTCCAATCCATATTTTGTAGGAAAGTTGATAATTTTTAAAGTCTTACCGATAGTGGCCTCGTAGTGTTTGTTCTGAAAAACAGGTGGATTATCGTTCTTGTCTTCAATCTCAACATTCACTTGACAAAAACCCATCAGCCTTTCTGCGTCTTGTCGGCTTGGCCCACCATCACGAGCAGTGATATGGAGCTGATACTGAGACTTGACCTAACGATAAGAACGAATGAATGAATGAATTTAACCTAGAATCGAATAGAGATGGAGCAAGGAATGGAGCAAGGAATGGAGCAAGGAATGCAGCAAGGAATGGAGGAGTTCATTTATGTGTTTATTGTTTCAAGGAATTATGTGAATAGATGAGCTGATTGATGGATGAAAGGAATGGATAAAATGTTCGAACGGATAAAAAAAATAAAAGGACAATTACGTTTTTTTGGTGGTGAGAGGGGAGGAGAGCATTCTTTATTTGTGGCACAAATCCGGTTCCTAGTGAACGCATTTTCAAAAATGAACATAATAAACTGCCACGCCAACAAAGGAAATTTCCAGAAACCTATATATAATTACTAAAAATAATCTTAGCATAAATCAAAATACCTCGCGGTCAAACTCCTGTAGAGTGGTCACCATGCCTGATTCACGGTCAATTGTGAAATGATGTGGCGAGTTCTTGGTCTTGGTGATGGAATACTCGATATCACCATTAACTCCAGTGTCTTCATCTTCAGCTTTTACTTGTATCACGAAAGTTCGAGCCGGAAGATGTTCACGTACACTTGGTTTGTATTTATGGCAGTCTTTGAACACAGGCTTATGGTTGTTGATGTCTTGTATTGCCACTATCAACACAGCCTGTAAAGACATACAATGCAATCTCAATTTCATTCCTAACTCAATTCTGATTGAATTTCAATTGAATTCAGTTCTAGTTCAATATTTACATTGTGTCTACTTCAATATAATCAAATTCTAGTTCAATACAACAATTTTACTTCAAACAAAATCATTATTCGAATATAACCTAATGCATCAAAGCACCATGKTGKAAAATGTAGTCCTTTCACTTATTTAAAGCTCAATTTTGCAAAGAACAAGAAAAAAAGGCTTTTTGGGACACCATTTTAACGTTACCTTGGAGACGCCATTAGAAGCAACAAATTTGGATGTGGACAAACACGAAATAGTAAATAGAAACGCAAGAAATATGCGTCCACTATTCACTCTTAATAACAGTAAATGTCTAATCAAAGTAGAGACTTTTCTCGGTCATAAGAATCCGTGAAAGAACCTACCCTTGATGTAAGCATGCCATCTGTAGCGCTGATGTTCATCTTGTAGTAAGGTCCTCTCAGTTCWGGTCGTCGTGTTTTTACAAGTCTTATCACGCCTGTCTTGCTGTCAATGATGAAGTTAGTCGTGTTGTCACCTGACAGAATGCTGTAAGTAACTTCATCCAGGTCCTTGTCAGTGGCTTGCACTARAAATGATTTTAGGATATCAATAATAATCAAAATAAAGAGATGGTTTGAATTACAAAAATCCTATTAAGTATAGATTACAGTGCGCACATAAGTTCCTATAAGCAACAAAGAAACAAGCATGTTGTGGCTTTTATGCATATTTTGGGAAGGTTAGGAGGACAAGGTGAATGTTTTGTTACCTGTAGCTACTATCTGGCCAGCCACGGCATTTTCAGCGACAAACACRCTGTACAGATTCTGCGAGAACGCAGGCTTRTTGTCATTCACATTCGTTAGCTCCACGATAACGCGCGTCGTCCCGTTCTTGGCGGGATTACCGCCATCTTGAGCGACTACAAGGAAAGCATGGCGTGGAGTGGTCTCGTAATCCAATTCCTTTTTCGTCGTTATCCAGCCAGTGTAGGGGTCCACTGCGAAGTACTCGCTCTCCGCGAAATATCGGAATTGTCCATTAATACCGGAGTCCCTATCCCGCGCGGTGACCGCCAGTACGATGGTGCCTACAGGGGCAGTCTCCGGTAATGTGTCCCGATAACGCTGCTGTATAAATTCCGGTGGGTTGTCGTTGCTGTCACGAAGGTAGATCTTCACAGTGACGGCACTGTTAAAACTAGAATTGAACGAATTAACAAATCATGATACAGCTTTTACCGACAGTATTTTCAAAGTAACTATGCCCATAACACCAGTGCCATTGTTACAGAGAATGAAAATACAAGTGATGCTAGTGAAAATGTTGCTGATAAAGCCAATAATTTCATTGGAACTGTCGCCAATGGCAATGACAAAGGTAACATTCATAACACCAGAGTCAGTGTTACTGACAAAGGAAATGCCAATCGCACTGGAAAAAGTTATTTAATTCTACTGAGAAGACTAACCGTAATAGCGATGGCAACGAAAACAAAATACGCTTCAGGAAATGACAATGGTGATGATAGTGTTACAAAACCTATTTTAATCAAACCTTGGTGTTATTGCTGTTTCTGAGGCTTTGATCTTCAGATGGTAGATATTGGAATCTCTCTCGTAGTCCAAGGGGTTTGGTAGGGTAAGACTTCCAGTGTTGGAATCAAGGACGAACTTGCCATTATCGTTACCTGTAAATATTCCATCTATTGAAGAATACTCTTTGTTAGGTTAGTAGGCATGCAACAGGTTAAATTGGTTAAACTGGTTAAGTAGGTTAAGATTAAACGTGCATGAATTGATCATAAATTGGCATTCCATGGTTAGGGCATCATCATCATCATCATCATCAGTATCATCATCACCATTATCATCATCATCATCATCATTATTATTATTATCATCATCATCATCATCGTCATCATCATTATCATCATCATCTTCATCGCCATTATCATCATCATCATCATTATTATGATTATCATCATCATCTTCATCATCATTATCATCATCATTATCATCTTCATCATCATTATCATCATAATCATTATGATTAATGTTAAAATAGACATTAGAGTTTTAATTGGCTCTCATTAACCATCAATTAAATCTGTGTTATTTGAGTAAACTTGTGTTATTTGACCGTGAATATAGATGTGACCGTATTATAGATGTTGAAAAATCTTGTCTCACATGACAAGACCTAGCTCTGGTGCTCAGAGAAAGCGTCTCATGATCGATACTACAGTAGTGATTCCAACAGGGAAAAGATTCATTTCTGACCATCTACAATATTACTAAACACATTTCCAGAACAAATTCCCTGTGAAATTGTAAATACAATGATCCACTTATAGAAGCAACAAAGTGTTTGATKTTTRYTTATTTACTAACCTTGTAATATTTCATACCAAAGTTTTACGCCCGAAAAACTCTTGGCTTTTACGTCACCTACTGTTATCCCCATTTGCGTGTTCTCWTCCACGTAAAATTCGTACTCATCTTTCTCAAATAGCGGAGGATACATTCCAGTACGTACGTTAATCAACGCATTTGTTGACAAAGACGTCTTGCCCATGTCRTAYGCAGCRACYGTGATGTTATACCACGGAAGTAGCAAGAGTTTTCGACCCTTTGTAGTGATAACACCCGTTATAGGATGCACCTTAAAGTATCCATCGCGATCTTTAACAATACGGTACCGTACTTCGCCGTTCTKTTCCGAGTCAGGATCCGTAGCGTTAAGCGTAAARATAACCGTGTCAGGGTTAGGATTGACGTTTATGTGCGCAAGGTACAGTCCGTAAGTTTTGTTCATGGTAAAGTTTGGTCGATTATCGTTCTCATCAAGCACATGTATGACGACGTCGATGTTCGTGTAGTCACCGTCGTCCAGAGCGTTTTGTACTTTYGCGATGAACCGATGTKTCCTCTGAGTCTCGTAATCAAGTCGGGTTTTTACCGTTACGACACCCGAACTGCTATCGATTTTAAACGACGTTTTTGAAGGCGAAGCAATTGTGTATTCAGCATTGTTCACATGAATTGAAGGTCTCAGGGTCGTAACTCGCGCACCAATCGGAAGATTTTCGGAAATTCTCGCCTGGTGTTCGCCCTGTTGGAGTTGATACTTGAGTAGAACAAGTCGCGCCATTGCAAATGCTGTATTTGGAGGTCTGCCGTTGTCTCTGACGCCTACTCTAAAAGTAACGGGGTTAGGGAGMCCTCTTAGGATCCTTCTTGTCTTTAGATAGCCGTCTGGCAGAATAGTAAAGTATTTCGCACTTTCTATGTCGTCTATGGCATACATTAATTTGTCAGTTTTGTCAGCGTCCAGAGCTTTTACCGACATAACTTTGCTACCAATAGAAACATCAGCCAAAGCACTTCCTTCAATAAACCCATCATCRATATTCAGAAATTTGGGGAAATTATCATTAACGTTTACCACATTGATGAGCACAGCAACTTTACTTATTCGGTTTGTGACGTCACTCGCTAAAACATTCATACGGTATTGAGACTTCTTCTCGTAATCCAATGACGTCACTACAGTTAGTCTACCACTTCCGGGATCTAATTTAAACTTTTGGTCTTCGTTTCCAGASACTATTGAATACATGATTGGATCAAGACTTGCAGCTTTGATTYGTAGAACAGTCATTCCACCTGGAAGGTTTTCGACGACTTCGCCTTTGAAGGGAGAAAATGGAAACCTTGGGGGTCCCCTTAGGGCATAGACCATAATCTTGACATTTATTGACGATTTTTTGATCCGTCGTCCTAAATCACGTGCTTGGATCTGAAATGAAGACAATGATATTCAGGTGTAGTCAATAAAATGATGTGTAAATGATTGAAAATTCGAGAAGAATGAATCCTACATCACATATGTGACATAAAGCTAATTAACACTTAAATTTAAGTTTGGTGACTTACCTGCAAGTCATGAGTTTCCAGATCTTCCAGTGACTTGGCCAGCTTAAGAGYACCACTTGACAAATCCATATGRAAGAAGTTCTTATCRTTTCSTGATACTATAYTGTATCTAACTGCGCCGTTAGCATCCCTATCACCGTCATAAGCCACYGCAGTGAATATTGTAGAATTTACTCGACTGTTCAAAGGAATATTAAGGAGGTAATTTTCCGATGAAAATGTAGGCGTGTGRTCGTTAAGGTCCTGGACAACCACAACCACGTGGACAAGTCGTGATCGTCKTGGACTTCCGGCATCTTCGGCGCGAACTGTTAACACGTGCTGGTCGAGAGTTTCCCGATCTAGGGGTTTCGTGGCTCGGATAACACCCGAATTCAAATCGATCATAAATCCTCGATCCGACTCGGTATTCTCGCAGTTAACAATTGTATAAATCAACCTGGAGTTTTCACCTTGGTCWGGATCATTAGCCGTTATAGTCCCGATCTCGTAGCCACCTTTYAGATTTTCTTGAATTAACAACTTATACGAAGGTTCTGTGAACATCGGAGCGTTGTCGTTGACATCCAGTAACCTAACGTGTACGCTCGGGCCGTCGGAAACCGACGATCCCTTCTTAACGGAGATCTTGAGCCCGTATTTCTCCTTTTTCTCTCGATCCAGTCTCTTTCGTAACCTTACCACCCCTGTGACGTCAACACARAAAGCGTTTTCCCTGTTGCCGCGGGAGATGGCATATTTAAGATCTTTCTGTCCGGCATACCGAGGTTCTAGCTGTAAAATAATGGTCCCAACTACAGCGTTTTCAAACATATTCACTTTAAAATGYTTTTTCTGGAACCTGACCGGCGGACTAACGTTGGTGACATGAACCTTTACGTTGGCCCTTCCGACGTTATAAGGAAACGTTGCGTCCGTAGCCTTAACAACAAATGTATATGAGCTTTTCTCGCTGTGTATCAGCACCCTTTTAGTCCTTACTATACCCGTATCGCGTTCGATAGTAAATGGAATTCGAGCAGCGTTCTCAATGCTGTAAGTTACAATRGCATTACTTGAGGAATCTCTATCGTACGCTGTTAGCTTGGTTACTATAGAACCCGATGAGAGGAACTGGGCGACTGAAGCAACGAAGGGGTCTTGTGGGATAGCGAAGCGAGGAGCGTTGTCATTGACGTCGCGGACTTTTATTTGGATGATGGTCTGAAAAAAAGTAACGCGCGAATACAAACGTATTAAATACTATTTGAGTAATGACCATTTGCCGAAAACAATTCAACAAACTTCCAACAGTATTAAAAGCTGTAGAATTAAAGCAACATATTAACCTATTACTTAAAGAAAATCCTTAGAACCTAGGAGGACATACTCCAGAGGAATTTCAACGCCWTTCTAAGGCTAAGATTGTCCATCAAACATGTTTCGATAAAAACATCATATTTTGAACGACTTTGAAGATGAATAAAAATTGCGGGGRAAAAATGTTTCTACAGTTTTTACCCAAAACACACTAACTCACCTCAGCTGGTAGCTCTGGCATGCTYGCAGTCCAACCCTGCTGAACGACACGAACTACCAGTCGATATTCTTGTATCTTCTCGTAGTCTAGTGACTGTCGTAGGCTCAGCCATCCCGTATTACTGTCAATCCTAAACTGTTGTTTGGGATCYCCRCCTACCAGGTGATAGCTTAGCTTCATTCCCGATCCTGCACCATTTCTTGCCTACATGCAACGGTAAAGAAAACATGAGAGTTTGTTAGTATAGGGTGATTGAGGATGTAACGGAAAGCACCATAGACTATCATCGCGCCAATTACAGGAAATGGTGAATTGGGAGGCCTGCCATTGCCTCTGAAGCCTGCTCGAAAAATTACAGAACATTCAATGCGATGCACATGACCTGTTTATCTTAGGTTCGTTTCGACGAACTTCACATGTAACGAATTCAATGCAATAATACTCCAATGCCATAGCTCTACTCTATCATCTCATTTGCATTAAATTTGCAACATGTGAGGTTCAACGGGTGAAACAGGGTTCCCATGACCATATAAAACCCACCTCAACTTTAATAATCTCCGCAGTAACCTTGAAATCCTCTGGAATCTCTTTCATATACATAGTTTTTCGAAAAGATGGCGGAGAATCGGAAACGCTATGAACTGACACAAACACCTTTGCTACTGTAGATTTACTCGGGCTTCCTTTATCTGAGGCTGTAACAGTGAACTTGTATTTCGTATTGGGCGTTGCGCGTTGCCGTAACGTTATTGTACCGTGTTTGSTATGAATTGGAAAGACATCAATGGCTGATGAACCGTACGTGATGGCCGCATTGGAGCCTGAATCGAGGTCGGTGGCCTTGATAGTTAAAACTGTTGTGCCTGTAGCTGTGTCTTCTGGTAGAGCGATCCAGTAGGAGGACTGGGGGAAGGTTGGGTAGTTGTTGTTTCCATCGCGCACCCGCACCTTAACAACAGCTGTTGATGAGCGCCGTGGAATGGAATCTGCTTGGTCGGTAGCTCGAACCTGAAGTAAAAGAACCAAAAAATGCAAATGATATAAATAATAATAATATAAAAAATATATAAAAACAGGAGGAGAAAAAGAAGCCGAGACGATCAGAAATAATTCCAAAATTCACCCGACAGGCGTGGGGACTTGTAMCGATAACAGTTACATACTGACATTCTTTCACTTACAACATGWTAACATAGTGTTTCCCCGCCTTATAACAGGGGTAACCACAAAAATGTATAAAACGGCGCGCATCATTTCATCCAAGATTCCTTTTAATAGATGAACCGTTTGAGTGTGCGTTTCATAAGTAAAGGTAAAATAGTTATAAAAAATGCCATTCATTCAAAAGGGATGCGCACTTCAAAGCAAGAGTTAAAGGAAGCATTTCCTGATGCGGCGTATTAGATAATTACTCTTAAGTTATGGGTGTGGCATGGTGGCATGACAACTACCTTGAAAGAATAGTGCGTTCTGTGAGAGTATTCCAAGTAGTTTGACAAAGTAAGCGCGCAGCCTTGATTGACAGTACGGAAATTAAACGTATCCATCTCATCCGCGTCAATATCGTCGATAGTACATTTGAACTGTCCTCGCAGACCACTGTCTTCATCCGTAGCGTTGATAATCGTAAGCGTGTTACCAGGTTGTGCGTCTTCGTCCACGCTGACTGTGGAACGCAAGAACAGAGTAGAAGTTGGTGCGCAATGGCATAAATGTACGTAGAATGCATAACGCAATGAAGTACGTAATGCATACGTAAATTCATGAACTACACTTAACATTCACATTGAATGTAGTACAAATTTACGCAACTGACGCGATGTATTGCGTGTAAGTTGCGTAAATGTATTGCGCAAACTTTTACAAAAAAACATTGACAATTGCAAGTGATGACTCTACGATGTGTGGACTACAAGGTAATGAATGAAAATGACATTGAACTTCATACTTAAATCAAGAAAATACTTTACGCTTACCATACAACAACATACCTACCTTTCCATAGCTAAAAAATGTAAGTAAATTGTTATAGAAAATAATCAACTCCTTTACTTTTGCTC